AACGAGTGAAAAATGAGAGCACAAGAATGCTATTCATTATAGAGTAATGGGAATGGTTGTTTTTTGAGTGATATTGTGAACCAATCATTGTTAGACCATCATTCAAACCCTGATAGAACTGGATGACCGTTTTGTTTGAGCACGAGACTCATCAGTGAAGCACATCCACGACTTCGGCTCCCGGGACTCGAGCCCCGGATTTTCTATCTCACACTCAAACGCTTAAACTCTAGACAACTAAACCGGCATCCAACTGTGTCATTGTCTAACTTGTTCAACCTCATCCACTATATTCAGTGGGCATTGCTTCACACCCTACACCGTTGAACTCCACTAGTCAATACAGTGGACTGATCGAAGTTAGACATGCATAGAGTTGAATGTCGTCTCAATGGTGTAGAGGTTGAGCGTTCACGAGAGAGACAGTAGATCCGGGGCTCAATTCATGCGAGCATTAATCAGGGATGCGCATCGCTGTTGAGTTTCGTGATTGAACGAAACGGTCGTCCAGAGCTTTCAGGTATCGACTAATGGTCTAACAATGATATATAAATTTGAAATGATTTAAACGATGGAAATTTAAAGAATTCAAACATCTCACTTGATAAACTGATCCCAGCTTCTTTAAGAGACAAAAAAATAACATAACATTCATCTAAACAACTGACGCCTAATTTTTTTTTGTCAAACTATTCATTCAAAACTTTTGATGAATATTCACGGAAATTAGTTGTTTTGTTTTTACAATCAAATTAAATTACAAATTAGAAATGCAGTTACAAATGAATGTGAATAAAGTTTTGAAAAGAAGCAAAATACTGAAATTCAATATTTTTCGTAGAAAATTAAAGATGAATGAATACATTTTCACTATTGTTATAGATGTTCTCTTCATCTCTATGTCTTAACATTTTTAAAATCTGCCTAACTGTATGTTGAAAAATCGTACAATCTGCTCACAAGTGACTAACTTTGTGAAGAAATACTCCGAATTCTATTAAGAAGCCGTAATCAGTGGAGTTCAAATTTGTCGTCTGTAGGCTGGCTCAGTTCAATGGTCTAGAGGTTAGGCTTTCACATGAGAGAGTGAAGGTCATGGGTTCGATCGTGGGGTTGCGGATGCTCACTGTAAATGAGTCTCATACCAGTGTGGTGCACGCTACTTATAAGTATTATATGACGTGAATGTCAACGTAATGTCTGGTAGCAGAAGATGGGGGAAGATCAAGAAAGGAAGAAGAGTGGGAACACAATGGAATTTGTATGAAATAGCATGAATAGTGAGTGATATATCAGACAATGGATTGATGATGGAATGAAGATTTGCAAATTAACCGTTTACGATATGGTTTTCCTATTTTACTGAGTAACTGTGTAATTTTCGTTAAATACAATTCGGTTTCCCTCACCTGTGTTCTTCTTCACTACATTTGGTGTCGCTGCCTGCACGAGGGAAGGAGCTCCCGTGGCCGAAGGAGATTGAGGACAGAGATTTGCGGAGCTTCCCTTGGTAGTTTGAGGCCGTGGTGGGTTCGATTGCTAGGTGCGGGGTGGCCGATACTCACTGTTAATAAGTCTCATACTAGGACGAAACTCCCATCCGGTGTCTGTAGGTTTTTAATTGTGACCTAATCAAGGTCACTTAGTGATTTAAACTAAGAAATGATTTATTCTTTACAAATTTATTTTATTTAATAATTCATTTGAAATATACTTTTTTATTAATAATTTTCAATTCATTTCTATTTTATTTTTTAAAAATTCATAATAGTAATTGTTTAAATCGAACGAACAGCACATTCAAATCAAACGATTCGCATTTGTCCAATAATCATTTTCCTATAAAATGGTCTAATGATGATGCAGACGATGACGACGAGAAACAACGGCATCAACAAATCCCAAAATTTGAAAAATTCAATGACAATAATAATAAACTTGTTCAAGTGAAATGTCGTTTAGAAACGAAAGAATTATGGGAGAAATTCAATGAATTAGGCACTGAAATGATTATTACTAAATCTGGTCGGTAAGTAAAGAAAAACACATGATTAAAATTGTTATTATTACTTACTTACTTACTTACTTACTTACTTACTTACTTACTTATTTACTCACTTACTTACTTACTTACTCACTTACTTACTTACTTACTTACTTACTTACTTACTTACTTACTTACTTACTTACTTACTTACTTACTTACTTACTTACTTACTTACTTACTTACTTACTTACTTACTTACTTACTTACTTACTTACTTACTTACTTACTTACTTACTTACTTACTTACTTACTTACTTACTTACTTACTTACTTACTTACTTACTTACTTACTTACTTACTTACTTACTTACTTACTTACTTACTTACTTACTTACTTACTTACTTACTTACTTACTTACTTACTTACTTACTTACTTACTTACTTACTTACTTACTTACTTACTTACTTACTTACTTACTTACTTACTTACTTACTTACTTACTTACTTACTTACTTACTTACTTACTTACTTACTTACTTACTTACTTACTTACTTACTTACTTACTTACTTACTTACTTACTTACTTACTTACTTACTTACTTACTTACTTACTTACTTACTTACTTACTTACTTACTTACTTACTTACTTACTTACTTACTTACTTACTTACTTACTTACTTACTTACTTACTTACTTACTTACTTACTTACTTACTTACTTACTTACTTACTTACTTACTTACTTACTTACTTACTTACTTACTTACTTACTTACTTACTTACTTACTTACTTACTTACTTACTTACTTACTTACTTACTTACTTACTTACTTACTTACTTACTTACTTACTTACTTACTTACTTACTTACTTACTTACTTACTTACTTACTTACTTACTTACTTACTTACTTACTTACTTACTTACTTACTTACTTACTTACTTACTTACTTACTTACTTACTTACTTACTTACTTACTTACTTACTTACTTACTTACTTACTTACTTACTTACTTACTTACTTACTTACTTACTTACTTACTTACTTACTTACTTACTTACTTACTTACTAATGCACTTATGCACTTACTGTCGACAGGCAAATTCTTTTTCTGGTGAGTGTGTTTTTTAAGCGAATTGGATTTCTACAAGACGGGGTCGCTAATTCCATGCCCAGGTTTCATCCTTTATCTAGGCTTGGGATAAGCAATAACCCTCGATGGTCTGCAGGTAGAGTTATATCTTACTGTTTTTAAGTTTATGATCAAATAGTTTTTAAAGATTTGATCAAGCTGAAATGGAAATATCATTCAAAATCGATTGAATTTTTCAATCTGAACCAGTTATTCACTAATACAGATTAGATGTTCACTAATCAACGTACAATAAACGGTAGCTACTACGCTTGAACATCTGGTAGTTACTTTGATCAATTAACTTACTCTGAAATATGTATTATGAAAATTGTCGAAACACATTTTGGATCATAAGTGTGTGAAGATTGTTAAGTTTCATTAAAAACATGGATAGATCATAGTTAGATCACCATTAGGAAACCCACGGACACTAGACGACCTTTTCAAACTAGTATGGGACTTATCATTAGCGCATATCCACGAGAAGTCATCACCAGTAGAGTTCAGCCGTGTCCAGTGTGAAGCAGTGCCCACCGAAAACAATGGATGCGGTTGTGCAAGACTGTGAATTGATTCAACTTAGACATTAACACTGTTGGATGCTGGCTTAGTGATCTAGAAGTTAAGCATTTGGGAACCTAACCGAAGTTTGTCAGTTCGATTCTCGCTGACGGGGTCTCGTATGCGCTTCGCTGATGAGTCATATACTCGAAAGAAACGATCATCCAATGCTCCCAAGTTTCTAATCGTGGTCTAACAATGATCAATTTATGGTTTCAATGAAATGAATTCATAATCAGTATGATTATTGATGTACATACAGGAGGATTATTTCAAACTAAAATTTTTCCTGAAGAAAAATACATCATTATTGCTTTAAATTCCTGTCAGATGCTTACCACCTGCAACCATAGTGTTAATCATTGAAACAAAATAATAAGCGCACGCATTTCAAATTGGCAATTTACTGAATAAATTGAGCTGACATATTCAGATAGAATAACAATTATAATAATAGTAATAAACGGATAATAATACAGAAGATTTACTATCGTTCAAATGTTCATTGATCAATAAGTTAAATGTTACATATAAATAATTTCAAAAGACCGTTTCGTCCTGGTGTGGGACTCCTCAGCAGTGCGCATTCACGACTCCTGCACCTCGCAGGATTCGAACCCAGGACCTTCAGCATTATGCGCGAACGCCTAACCACCGGACCACTGAGCCGGGACGAAACGGCCTTCCAGTGCTTCCAGGTTTGTAATGGTAGTCTAACATTGATAGACTCATGGTTTCAAAAAACTTAACAATCTTCACAACCCCGTAAGGCAAGTTACCTGTGCTCACTAGTGACTAGCTTCGTGAGAGATCTCCGAGTTCTAGTGGGAAGACGTGACCAGTGAAGTTCAATCTGTTCGGGTGTAGACAGTAACTACCAAAGACTTTGTATGAGGTGAATTGATCAAGTTAGACATTAACACCGTTAGATACCGGCTCAGTGGTCCGATGGTTAGGCGTTCGCCTACATTACCGAATGTCCTGGGTTCGAATCCTGGGCGGCGCAGGAGTCATGGGTGCGCACTGCTGAAGAGTCCCACACCAGGACGAAACAGCCGTTCAGTGCTTCCAGATTTCTAATGATGGTCTAACATTGATCGATTCATGGTTTTAAAAAAACTTAACAATCTTCACAACAACCCCGTAATGCAAATTTTAGAAGAGTTTAAAAAGCAGAATGTTTTTCAAATTCAAAATCAAAGATAAATTACGTAATACTTGCTGACAAATAAGAACTAGCCATTTAACTTTAAAAATAAGTAAAACCTGTGTATTTATTCGTTTTTTTTTCTGTTTCTTGTGTTTTCTTCCCCCCGCGCAAAAAAAATCCAATCCAATCAAATCAAATCATCAATCAATAGACGAATGTTTCCAGTGATACGTATATCATTTAGTGGTTTAGAATCGGATGCGAAATATTTAGTATTAATGGATATTGTACCAGTTGACTGTAAACGATATCGTTATGCGTATCATCGATCAAGTTGGTTAGTAGCTGGTAAAGCTGATCCAGACTTACATTTACGTCATTATGTACATCCTGATTCACCATTTACCGGTGAACAATTAATGCGACAAACTGTATCATTTGAAAAATTAAAATTAACCAATAATGTATTAGATAGACAAGGTTATGTAAGTAATGATGATTTCAATTTGAAACTTTATTGTTATCTGATTGGTTATATTAGGTTTTTTTAATTTTTGCTGCTTTTGTTATTGATTCCAAGGTGAATGATCGTTACTGTATGTGCAGCATTGTTTCATTATGATCTCAACGTATTTTAACACTTGGCCTCCTTCTGCATTAATCACTTCTCTTTTTCATTGTGTTATTCAGTCTATTGAGTTTGCATAGATCTAGTTTCGTACTTGAAGAATATCTCTTACTTAGTTACTTATTTACGCATGTTATCCCTAATGGAGCATAGGCCACCAACTAGCATACTCCAACTTACCGTGTCTTCCGTCTTCTTTTCTGGTTCTTTCCAATTAGTGTTCATTCTTCTTATGTCTGCCTCCGATTCTCAGCTTAATGTGTCCCTCGGCCTACATTTTTTCCTTAGACCTTGAGGATTCCAAGTGAGGGCATGTCTTGTGACGCAGCTGGGTGATTTCCGCAAGGTTTTGGTATCCTGTCCACCTTCAGAGGTTTCACCTGATTTATTACTGTTACGCCTGCACGTAAACACGTCAACTTGATATACTTGAACTATTACGAGTTTACCTAGTCAGAAAACGAGAGCGATGATCGAGGATTCGGCGACACGACAAACTACTCAAATCCGATTATCCAAACCCCCATATTTAGTAAAAATAAGAAGACGTGATACGAAGTAGAACTTGTATTCTACAAGCATCCAGAAAAAGCGAGGTCCGAGTCCAGAAGAGAATCAGGATTCCTGACTGGGGATCCAGGACCGAGTCCTGGTCCTGGTCGTGGTCATGAAACGTTACAGATAATCGGTATTTATACATTTTGGTCGAATAGGAAACAGCATCGAATTCTGTGGCATTGACAGTTAAGACGACCAATAGGAAGTAACATTTGAAATGACATTGACAGTCCGGATGACCAATAAGAGACAACATTGAAGTATTTGACTTTGATAGTTAAAACGACCATAATTTTGACCAATAGAAATCGACCAATAAGAATTGACCAATAATTTTCTTAGGATATTGGATAAATATCCTAACAGTGTATCAATTCAAATATTCATGAATACAATAAGATAAGAAGTATGAAGTTGGTGTTATTGAAAGATTTAAAAACAGACGGAACTAATCGTTTATACCTTGAAATCATGAATGAATTATTGTTAGACTGCCAGAAACCTGGAAGCATTGGAAGGCCGTTTCATCATTAGTATGGGATTCATCAGTAGTGCGCATCCACAACTCCTGCAACTCGCAGGATGCCAACACAATGGTCCAGAGATTAAGCATTCGTATGTGTGACCTAAGGTCCTCGGTTCGCGTTTTTACACATTTGAAATCATCAATCAATCATTGTTACCAGACCACCATTAGAAACCCGGAAGCACTGAAAGACGACCGTTGTGTCCTGGTATGGGACTGCTCACTGGCAGTGCGCATCCCCTAGATGAATCAGAGTTAGACATTAACACCGTTGGATGCCGGCCAGCTCAGTGGTCCGATAGTAAGGCGTTCTCCTTAATGCCGAAAGTCCCGGATTCGAATCCTGCGAGGAGCAGGAGTTGTGGATGCGCACTGCCACTGATGAGTCCCATACCAGGACCAAACGGCCGTCTTTCAGTGCTTCCAGGTTTCTAATGGTAGTCTAATAACAATGATTGATTGATGATTTCAAATGTTTTCGTATATTTCGAGAAAGATAACGAATAATTTTGATGTAATATGAAAGCAGTTAAGAATCTGTTTTCACAGGAAATTATTCCAGTTAATCCCTTGAGGTGATAGTTTGAGAATATGAAGTTAAGTTTGGACGGAAAAGGAGGATACGTGAATTCAACTCATTAGATCATGATTACTCTTGTACCCTGTAACTCCATCTGTACCGCCTCTGTTACACCACAATGGTAGCAGCTAGTGCTCGCGTCCACCGGACCTGCACTCCATTCTACCCACCAACCTCGGCCCTGGGTCACTTCCCATCTCCAAGTGCGCCTGTCCACATCGTTTGGTCATTACCCCTCTATATCACTCTCTATTTCTCGGAGTCGTGTGTTCCCTTGGTCTCTCCTCGCTTCCTCTTAACCCTTGTGTGCGTCGCTCCAGCTGAGCGACTTTGTCTCGTGACGCATTCTACGGTGCTCTTTCGTACGTGTGGTGTCCTATCCACTTCCCCCACTCCCTATTCACCTGCACTTCACTCCACTCATCTGGTAACTCCTCGTTTGTTCTCTCTCCCACTATGTACTCGTTGTACTGTATGCTTGTCTCTGGCGAACCTGAATCCGCAAGTCACCCTCTTTTGCGTCTGACCACTATTACTGAATACCTCAGATATACTGTTGTCTGTACTGTATGATCTGTACATCTTGAGAGACCATATTGGTCAGTAAGGTACTACAGTAATGAGTCCTATAGTATGAGTGGATGCCTCTGATAGTCTCTGTCACCCCCCCTGATGGATGACCGCCTTCCTCTCTGGCTTTATCTGTTGATCATGGCGCCACTCCGTGTGCCTCTTCCAATCTGATGGTACTTGTTCCTCATCCCAAATCTTCTTGAAGAGAATGTGAAATATTTTCGCACTTACTTTTACATCTGCTTTCATTGTCTCTGCTGGAATGTTGTCTGGTCCTGCTGCTTTGCCGCTCTTGATTTGTCTGATGGCCATACTGATCTCCTCAATCGTAGGTGCGCCAATATTAATTGGGAGGTCCATGGATGCTGCTTCGAGATCATGATTACTAATATTTAAACAAAAGAAAGGTTACTTAATGACTCATTTTTTTCTTTCTAATACAAACATTTGATTTAAACCTTCTCATTTCTATGGTTCATATAAATTTCACTAATGTAGACCAGTTGAACAGTTTATTTATTGATAACCTTGAACATTGAATTATTTCAGTGGATTGATTATTGTACGCCATATTTGTTAGGCGTTACATTATTCAACTAATTTTATTATTTTAAATTATTCACTAATGACGCCATTCGTATCAATGTTCAATTTATGATTCTTCTTTTCTTCAACACACAGATTATTTTAAATTCAATGCATAAATATCAACCAAGAGTACATTTAATTCAATTATCAATGAATCCAAATAATGATGATGATACTATTGTTAATAATATGAATAATCAATTCATTATTAATTCTTTACTAACAACAACAACAACATCATCATTCCCTAAATCATTAGATAGATTACCAACTGAAAATATTAAAACATTTACATTTCCTGAAACGATTTTCATTGCTGTGACTGCTTATCAAAATCAATTGGTAAATTATTAAAATTCATTTTTATTGATTGATTTATTGAAAAGTTAAATGATTGATTGATGATTTCACAAAAATGTGTAAAAAAAACACAACTCTTCCAAAATTCTAACAGAAAATATTGTAATATGTGCTTACTAGTGACTGACTAGCTTCTTCGTGAGGAAATTCTTGGAGTTCTAGTGAGAGAAGACATTGTGACCAATGAAGTCCAACCCTATTCGGGTGTAGGCAGTAACTATCAAAGACAAATGGATGAGGTCACGCAAAATCCGTAGATCAATCAGAGTTAGACATTAACACCGTTGGATGCCGGCCCAGTGGTCCAATGGTTAGGCGTTCGCGCACAATACCGAAGGTCCTGGGTTTGAATCCTGAGAGGTGCAGAAGTCGTGGATGAGTCCTGTATCAGGACGAAACGGTCGTTTTTCAGTGCTTCCAGGTTTCTAATGGTGGTCTAGTAACAATGATTGGTTGATGATTTCAAATGTGTAAAAACGCAAATCTCCAAAACTATAACAAAATTTAATTCATTTAAATATAAACGTCACTGATCTCTAATTTAAATGTTTAAAAGTTGGTAATTCAATGTTCAATTTAAAGTTGTCAACATAAACTGCTGATGACTTCTCTATTAAGAGAGAATAACAAGGAGGATTCCAAGTTAGGGCTTGTCTTGTAACGTAGTCGGGTAATTTTCACATTGTTTATCCTAGCCACTTCCTGATTTACTCCTCAAAATGGAATCTGGTTTTGTTATATCCCACAGTAGGTTATAGCTGATGGTGTCTGGCCAGTAGATAAGTAGTATCTTGAGTAGATAACTGTTAAATACTTGTATCTTATGGATGATTGCTTTCCAAGTTTCTTCTCCTCATACAATAGAACTGTGATGATATACTTGTCTCGTCAAATCACGTCGTTATTAGTTGACTAGATTATAGTTAAGTTTTTTTGGTAAAAACTCAGCACTCATAATTATCCCATTCATAAAACCATTTACGACCGTTTTAAACGAAACCGGATACGAATTGACCTATTTTTGAATAAATGATCTCCTGTGTGAAAAAAACTAACTGATTTAAACATAGAAAACAGCTTATAAAACTTGATAATTCATAAAACACGAACAAAAACCGGGTTCCAGTTTACTCATTGGCTAGCACATAGATTCAAGGTCATCTTTGGTACATGTCAAGGTCACATGTATAATATGCTTTCAAAGATTGACATCAATCAAGAATTGTATTTGTAAACCGTCTAGTAGAGTTCAATGAATTATTGCTTTGTTTCTTCTAATTTTGTTTTTTAGATAACTAAACTGAAAATCGACTGTAATCCATTTGCTAAAGGATTTCGTGATTCTTCACGCCTTACAGAATTTGAAAGGTTAGTTATAAATATATGTATACATAATTTACAGAATGTAATCATGTTGAAATTAACTCTTAACATTTATATGTCGATATTGTGACCACCATCAATCAGGCTGGTCAAGAGAGAGTTGCGTACTGTTATTATCTGTCTGTTTCCAAACCGTTTTGGGAGATATTTTTCTCATTCATTGGTTCATTTGCTTGGTAGTAGTACATCCAATATAGCTGTTACCTTCAAATGCCATCAGTAAATTCATTAAAATATAGTTCCAGTCATTACTGCTGATGAATCCCATAGGGGGTGTAAGAAGGATTTG